GTATCATTTCAGTAACATTTATTTAGAGAACAATACTCACACTATCAGATTATTTTTTTCATAGTTATTTTTAAATCATTTAAGGCCAAATAATGTTTTAACATACCTTCAAAAATACCCCAAAACTGACCATTAAAACTATTTTAGATAGATCTGTGAATACCGACACTAGTTTTATACTGTGCCTTTACTCATGTGGTCCTTGCTCCTCAGCATTGGTGACCCYTGCTTTAGACTCACCTTTCCAGAAGAGGTCTCTCCTCTCTCTCTCTGTCCTTCTCTGTCCTGACTCCTACAGGTCAATAGGGGTAGAAAATTAGTAATTACATTGTAATTATTACTAGGCAATTTTTATTATCTACTGATGGTATTCAGATGTGAATAAGCTCAGCTCCTGTTTCACAATAAATAATTTTTTTTTACACCAAAATAATTTAGGGGAGCTTTAAGATATTTAAGGGGGCTCTAGCCCCCCTAAAATAGGCGTAGTGACGCCACTGGTGTCTGGATTTACTAAAATGCTTATAACTCAAAAACTCTTCAACACAGGAGCTTCAGATTTCTTTGTTGTTTAGCTCTGATGAAGGGCTATTCATCAGGCCCACCAAGGAGCCCTCCCAGCCCCTCTGGACCCCCACCCTAAACAATAAATCCATTCCGATGAGTTCTGGTGCRTTGGTGCAGGGGTCGTGTATGCTGCCGCTCTGCTGTATCCAGTTTAAATTGGTTGATTTCCTGGTTTCAGACCTGGTATCCAAAAAMTTAAAGTTCCCGTTTTATCTAATCAGAGACCAGTTCTGAGGTTTTCAGTCAGACCCAACAGAGTCCAAGTCCAGACGCTGATTTAAGGTGGAGGTGGTCCAGTGGTCCTGTTTGACAGTCTTGTCTGGGCTCTCAGGTTCTGAAGCCTCACCAATGATCTTCTCGTCAGTTTTTTTTAGCTTCTTCTTGGGTTTTAGTGGCTGTGAGGACAATATTTATAATGAAAACCAGTTTCTCTTGATATTTACATTAGAAAATATTAAAGGTCATTCAAACAGAAAGCATGACTCAGCACGTTGTCTCCGTTCTGAGGATTATAATCTGGAAGAGCTTCTGATTGAATGCACTGTCTCTAAATGTCAAAGTTTTCTTTATTTCAGTCGGACTCTCGGTGACGTCGCTTCATTCAGGCTCCAGGATAAAAACACTGTTTCCTCTGTTTGTGAAACATTTTTTCCCTCAGCTGATCAGATTCTGGTTTTTCTAAATAAAAGACTTTAACCATGAGGCAAACAAATCCAGACAACAGCTCTTTGATTTAAAGAAAATGACTTCATTCAAACAAACTGTAAAAATACAAACTTACTGACAGAATTTAACCCTCCTGATGTCCAAACTGAGCCCTGACGTCTCGGCTTCGGCTCATTTTGGACACGAGGAGGGTCTTCTCTAGAACCAGATTATTTAGTTCACAGCAGGGATTAACTCTGATCCTGAGAATAAAACTTTAAATAAAACAAACTGTCTTCGTTCCTGCATCTGTTCAATCCACAGTTTGGTCTGAATTATGTAACCAGCTGTGGGCATCTTCAGCTAACAGCTAACAGCTAACAGCTCAACTAGTTTTTCATTGATCAGATTTGCTTTTTCACTTATTTTCAGATGACAGACATCCCTGTTTTCTGGGGACAGTCTCTGTTTTGGACAACATGTCCCCACGCTCAAACTGTCCTGTATTTGTCTCTGATTTGTGTGTTTTATGAATGAGGGGGAAGTTGTGTGTAGATGTTACGACTGTAGACCGGTCTGAAGCACAAGTTAGCATGTTGCGCAACAACAGCTGCTGTAGCTGCTCTCGCGCTGCAAGGCTCAGTGGGTACTTTGTGTACTACTATTATTGGCTACTTCGTTTGTTTTATTACTCTTAGGAAATACTAACAACAGTGTAGAGACATTCTGCTGTTTAAATATGAATGTTTGTAAAAATATGTGAAACAGTAACTGTCCGCATTTCTTCATATCCTCATAATGTTTAGCTATTTTTTTATCTCCTAGCTGGAAATGTCCCCTGATTTAGTGTCAAGAATCTGGTCACCCTCACTTACTTTGAAAAACATTAGCCGACAAATTATCTTCCACTAAATTAAGTTTTGTCAACTTTAAGTCCACGAAGTTAGCTAACAAGCTAACATCAACAGGATTGTGTCAGTCCCATCTGTCTTCAGCTGGAAGTACAGTAGATGCTGACTGACGGTCATCTTAGTGGTTAACGCTTATATTTACTTAACTAGCTGTTTAACATTAGCTTCAGCTGCTTTATTACATGATTACCTGTGTAAGGTTAGCTTCCACCTATTTTTACTTAACTAGCTGTGTAGCATTAGCTTCCGCTGCTTTTTAATTGATTAGCTGTTTAGCATTAGCTTCTACTGTTTTTAATTGGTTAGCTGTTTAGCATTAGCTTCTACTGTTTTTAATTGATTAGCTGTTTAGCATTAGCTTCTACTGTTTTTAATTGATTAGCTGTTTAGCATTAGCGTCTGCTGATTTTTAATTGATTAGCTGTTTAGCATTAGCGTCTGCTGCTTTTTAATTGATTAGCTGTTTAGCATAATTCATTAGCTGTTTAGCATTAGCGTCTGCTGCTTTTTAGTTCATTAGCTGTTTAGCATTAGTGTCTGCTGCTTTTTAATTCATTAGCTGTTTAGCATTAGCGTCTGCTGCTTTTTAATTCATTAGCTGTTTAGCGTTAGCTTCTGCTGCTTTTTAATGGATTAGCTGTTTAGCATTAGCTTCTGCTGCTTTTAATTGATTAGCTGTTTAGCATTAGCATCTGCTACTTTTTAATTGATTAGCTGTTTAGCATTAGCATCTGCTGCTTTTTAATTGATTAGCTGTTTAGCATTAGCCNACATTTTTCTTTTTGTATCGAAAAAATATCGAACCGTGAGACTAAAGTATCGAACTGAACCGAACTGTTTTTATTTTTTACAATAACAAGCTGCAATGAAAACAAGCAAAATTGAAATAAAAGTAACAACTTTCTACTTCTTGTCTTTTTTAAAAGATGTAAGAAACAGAAGTAAAACGTGGGCTGAAAAATATTTACTTAAAGTACAAATACCCCKAAATTCTATTTAAGTAGCCTACAGTAACAAAGTATTTGTACGTAGTTACTTTACAACTCAGTTTATGTCCAAATATTTATTTTAAATAAATATAATCTGTTTTGTTAAACAGTAAAATTAATTTAAAAAGTTTAAATTTAAATTTAAGACTGATTCAGATTTAATCCCGACAGAAAGACGGAGGAGACTTGAAGTTTTAAAAATCCGAGGTTCCCTGAACGCCTCTCCCCTCCTCCGGAGGAAACGGAACCACGGATCCATCAGCAGGTCCAAAGGGTTTCCTCAGAACCACCGAGCGGAACCAGCTGTCTGTGCGCGGGTCGGAACCAGGTTCGGAGCCGTGGGGAGCGATGCGACGACCCGGAGGAGGAGCAGAACCGAACCGGCAGCAGCAAACAGCTGACAGGAGGAGGGTCTGAGGTCCAGAGAAAAACAGAAAGCAGGTAAAAACCCAGCTGTTTGTTTGTTTGTTTGTTTGTTTGTTTGTTTGTTTGGGTCGGAACCGGACGGGTTTCTGCTGGCGGGGCGGGTTGGTTCGGTTCGGTTCTGCCGGTCGTGTCCAGCAGACACAGGCGGGCGGGATGAGTCATCGCCCGGCTGCAGCTTTCAGCTCCTCATCAGCTCATCGTGCGAAGCGCGTGCGTGTGATCCCTGAAGCGTCGGTTCTGGTTCTGGTTCTGGTTCGTGTGGGCGTGACACCACGAGGCAGAACCCAGAGGAACGTGCACGGTGAGGGGGTGAGCGTGTAACCAGGTTCTGGTTCGGTTCTGTGTGGAGAACCCAAAACCCAAAAAACTGTTTCTGCAACTTTCAGCTCCTTTAATTAAAGGGAGGTTCTGTGCAGKAGTAAAGAGCAGTCAGTGTCTTACCTGCTGCAGATGTCTCTTTGAAGGACGTCAGTTTGGAGAAAAACTTGTGGATAAAGTTAATTTTTTTACGTTGTTAATTAGAGTTTTATTTCTTCATCAATAAATAACTTTCAGGGTTTATTTTTTATTTTTATTTTACAGTTATTTAATCAGGCAAGCCCGTGATGTGTTTTATTTTCTTTTTAAAGAAAATTGTGTTTTAAAAAACTGCTGATTTCATTTAAATTAAAATAAAAAATGTCAGAGTTCAGAACATCTGGACAGAGCTGTCGTTATGTAAAATATTTCGTTACTTTTGGTGGTAATTTGGTGCCGTTATTCAGTGGTGGACACCGCTAACCCAAAGGTTAGCTTCACTAACCGCTAGTCTGCTAACAATAAAATTAGCTTAASAAAAACTAGATGACTAAATGGGTAAAAAAAAATCAACAAAAGCTAACGCTAACCGCTAATTCAGGTTTTGTCATTTAAACAAACATGAAACTTCAGATGAKATTTTCCCAAGTTATCAAAAATGCTAAACTACTAAATGTGTAATTAATAGAAGCTAATGCTAACKGATAGSTGCTAATTCAAGATCTGTCATTTYAATGMAAATGTGTGAAACATCAGTTTGCCTTTTACCAAAGTTAGCAAACATGCTAATTTGCTAAATGGGTAATACAAACAGCAGAAGCTAACTGCTAACTTAGGATGTCTTTTAAACATAGACATCTGTCAGGTGCTATTTTCCCAAGTTAATGAAAATTCCAAACCGCTAAATGTTACTGAAAGCTAATGCTAACAGAGAACCGCTAATTCAAGTTCTTTCATTTAAATGTATAAATGTATGAAACATCCTTTTCCCAAAGTTAGCAAAAATGGCAATCCGCTTAATGCTCGGGAAAATCAGCAGAAGCTAACTGCTAACATAAGCTTTGTCTTTTAAATGTAGATGTATGAAACGTCAGCCATTTTTCAAAATTAACAAAAACGCTAATTTGTTAAACAGGTAAGAACAGTAACAGAAGATAAATGCTAACTTAAGATGTGTTTTAAATATAAACGTACATCAGGTGCTTTTTTCTAAAGTTAGCAAACATGCTAATTTGCTAAATGGGTAAAAAAACAGCAGAAGCTAACTGCTAACTTAAAATTTGTCATTTAAACATGACTGTTTGAAACATCAGATACAATTTTCCAAAGTTAGCAAAAATGCTAATCTGATAAATGGGTTAAWAACATTAGCGAAGCTAACTGCTAACGTAGGATGTCTTTTAAACATAGACATCTGTCAGGTGCTACTTTCCCAAGTTAATGAAAATTACAAACCGCTAAATGTGTAATTAATGAAAGCTAATGCTAACAGACAACCGCTAATTCAAGTTCTTTCATTTAAACCTTTGAAAAAATTGTTGCCTTATTCCAAAGTTAGCAAAAACGCTAATCTGCTTAATGCTCAGGAAAATCAGTGCTTACTGCTAACATAACCTTTGTCATTTGTAGATGTATGAAACYTCAGAGCCATTTTTCAAAATGAGCTTAAACGCTAAACTGGTAAGAACATTAGCAGAAGCTAAATGCTAATGTAAAATGTCTTTTAAATATAGATGTATGTCATGTGCTTTTTTCCAAAGTTTATTTGCTAAATGGGTAAGAAAAACAGTAGAAGCTAACCGCTAACTTAAAACTTGTCCTTTAAACATGAGTGTATGAAACATCAGATACCATTTTTCAAGGTTAGCAAAATCACTAATCTAATAATAAATGGGTAAAAACATTAGGGGAGGCTAACTGCTAACTTAAGATATGTCTCGTAAACAAAGATGTCTGCTATTTTCCAAAGTTAGTAAAAATGGTAATCTGCTAAACAGATAAAACAACAGAAGCTAAATGCTAACTGATAACCAATAACTCAATTTCTACCYTTTAAACAGGCGAATGGTAACAGATGTCATTTTTCAAAGTTTGCTTAAAGAGTAACTTACCCCAAAATTAA